GCTGTAGCAACGCACTGTGAGACACGTACTATGGCCATATCCCTTCATACTCAGTAAATGCGATGAATTTATTTATTAAAATTGATGGTTTATCTAGAGATTTCCTTAGACCTTACTCACCAAGCATGACCTCTGAGGATAATGATAAATTTTATCCTTTACAAACTTCGTGCTTTTATTTCCTTTTCTTTTGCATATGCTCCAGCACACTGCAGAATAGAGATGACCATGGAAGATACTGTGTATATATTGCTAATCTCAAAGGGAAATGCTATTTAAGACATTAACTAAAATGTTTGTAAATATTCATTTTAAAACATTTACCCGCCAATTTCATTACGATGATTTGAAGGTGATGGCATTTCTTTTTCTTGTGTCAAGTTTTTTTCCTTTGTCACTAGTTTTTAAAGTTTTAAAGTATAACAGAATTGACTTTCTCTTAGATTTACTCCGGTTAAGATTTCTAAAGCTTCTTAAATCTATAGATAAACAGCTTTAATTAGTTGTGGAAAATTCCTGGGTGATGTTTCTTCCTGGCTAATAAATATTAAAAGTCACTTTTTCATCATTCTACCATCCTACACACCCACTGGGAGTCCAATTATGTTATAATGCAATTTCAGAAAGTAGTCATTCCTGTGTTTTCAATTTTTTTCTATTCTTTGCTGAACTATTTTTATTAGTTCAGTTACTCCTATCAGATGACTCTAATCATTTAAATCCATTTTTTCTGTTTCCCCTTAATATATTCTTTAGGTTTTTACATTTCTTCTTGAATTTTTTCTAATTATTATCTGATATCCTCTATAATAACATAATTTGTTGAATTTATTAATCCAATGATTTTAAATTAAGATTCCTTATTCTCTACAGATGTTTGGTCATATGATATTACCTTCTGGTATGCTTATAGATATTTGTACTGATTGAGTAACATTTTATATGAAAAATTACAGGAATTATTTGATGCCATAAATAATGTTACCTTCTTTCGTGAAGAATTTGCTTTGACTTTGGTAGGCAGTTAGTGTGGGGACACAAAACCTCTTTCCAGCCAATTAGTGGAGGTATTTGAACCTGGGTTTCATTCCTTTGGAGAGCTCGTCTCTGTCACTTTCACGCCCTCTGGAAGGTCACCCTTCAGAGTTGCAGCTGACAGCCATTTATTGACCTCCTCAGTCGCCTTGAATGTTAGTTCCTGGGTCCTTCCAGCAGGACAGCTGAAGCTCCTATTCCATGTCTCACACTCTCAGCTTCTGCTCTGTGCTTTCTTCTGTGCCCTTAGCTAGCGCGTGCAAACTTCCCAGAACCTTGTGGATACAAGCACTACTGAATGGCAGAAGTCTCTCCGTGTACACTTCCTCCAGAATACTGGCCCTGCAAGCCCCGCCACCTTGGTCTTAAATAAGAAACGCTTCTGATTGTTTTAAGTGGGATGTTTGCAGCGAACTCACCTACCTTCACCACAAACATAAATTATATTTTAATAGTGAAGCAAGTGTATGGTTTAGGACCGTGACATGTAGTACTTCAGAACACAGCCGACAATTCTTACATACCTCCCAACGAGGAGCATGTGGCTGGAATTGCACAGATTTCTGGGGATGACTCCGGTCCTTGCCTTCTTACTCTCCTTCTATCCCTGGTTTGTCTCAGCCAGCCAGCTGATTTTAATCACTCTGTCTATTCTGATGAATATCAAGTAATTACCTTTAAATGAAATAGCTCTCCTGAAATATTGATTCATACATTTAAACGCCACTCAGACATTGAAGCTGGACAATTCGCACGTGTTTTATATGGGAGGATACAGCCGACTTCTTCATCCTTCACCTGCGCTGCCTGCAGAGCTATCACGCTCTCCTTCACGCCTGAGCTCAGGGAGTACCTGCTGCTCTATCCGGTCTCGGGCAGCATAGCTGTGGTCACTCAGTTCCTCTCCTTCCTCCTGCTCTCCTCTCCTCCTTCACCTTCACCTCACATTTGAACCTCGTAATTTTTAATATTAATTCACTTTTTACCATTTTTAATCACTACTTTACTTATTTGGAACTTAAAATCAATGTTGAAGTCGGTCCTTTTTGTTTTAGTTTAAAGGCTTATGTAATTTTTATATATTCACCCCAATGGCTTTTGAAAAAATAATAACAGGTTACTGTCATTTTCTTACTTAAAATCCTTCAGTAGTTTTCACAATCTGCAGGACAGTATCAAAGTAGAAAATTCTATTTAGAAATCACGCTGATGAGAAAGAGAGTCAATAACCAAAGCTGTGACTTTTGGTCATAACTGTGAGCTCATCTCCCGGTGATGAAAGCTGCAGTTCTGAGAGTTGATGATTACAGTGCAGGAGAGACATGGAAGGAAAAGACAAGACCACTGCCTCCTTCGGGCAGGTCAGGGCATGCTCAGGTGACTGTGTGCACTCAGTGTACAAATTAGTACAAAAGAGGCAAAGGTGAGAGCTGAACATAACACACACAAGAACTTTGAGAGCAGGGTAGAAATCCAGGTGTCATTCTGGGAGGCTGCCCTGGGGACCGGGACTTGAGATGATTTACCTGCATAGTCAGAAAGCATGGACAACCAGACTGACATTTCCCAGAAAACCAACTCTGCTGCCGCAAACGGGACGTGCACAGCAGATGCAGCCACGCACAGAAGTGCGGGTGCTGGGACCACGGAGCTCACAGCCTTCTCCGGACAGCCGTGGAGGTCCGCCATACCTAGGCCCGACGGTGCCGGTTGGTTCTCCGTGCGCAAAGCCTGGTGCCCCTTCTGCAGAGGGACCATCCCACTCATAAGCAACTGACAGGCCCATTTCCCCAGCTCCTCCGCTGTATTTTTCTCCGTGGAGAATGTGTTTTCGGACTTGATTCCTGTGGATCGTTATCTCCCGCGAGGTGCAGTTGAGTCACGTTCCCCTATGTCCTCCCTGCGTGTGTGTGTGAGGACACCTTCTTTACAGGTCTCTCCCTGCATTATTGGTTGTGATATCTCAATGCCGCCTCGCTGAATTAGCACCACCGCAAGCCCGTTAGCCTCCGAGAATTCCTGCCCATACTCACAAAATGAGCGGGCGCCCGCCACAGGATACTTGTCACACTATCACCTGTCAGATTTTCTTGAGCAAATAGCAGCAGAAACTCATTGTAAACATTGCTGTTCGTGCGTATGTAGCACCTTGATTTTCAAAGCCTACTCCCTGTGAATGTCAGAGGCCCTTGGGGTGGCACCTTGCGCAGCGCGCTCCCTCTGCCCACCGTGGCATGTCTGTGTGCCACTTGGCCGAGACAGGGAGGGTCTGAAACCACTTTGCCAAGGGTGGAGGTGGAGAAGCGGCGATGTGGGTGGCGGGAGAGAAGCGGGGTGGGTGGCTGACGGTGGAAGTTAGCCCCAGCTCGGTGCCGGCGGTGCGGGGCTGAGACAGGGACGATGCCCGGGCAGCAGCGGGACCTTCGCTTTGCCCCTTGCGGCCCCGACGGACGGCCCCGCGCCTGCTTGCGTCTTCACCCTGTCATAACTCTCAGTTGTTTCCTTCCCAAGGTGTTTCAAAGTAGATGCCATGAAGGAGTTTTTGCTTTGTTTTTATTTTTTTAACGTTGTGCATTCAATTAGTTATCTGTGGGAAGCTTATCCTTTCTTCAGCATTCTGTTTGGTTTAGAAAATCCAGCGTGAGACAACTATATTCATCTCTCCATTGTCAAGACATTGGCCTTAATATAATGTTTAAAACATTCCTGGAGCCGCAGCTAGGCGGTTCCGAAGGCTTTCACTGACGCCTTGTGGCCAAAGATGGAACTACAGAACTTTTTGGACAGGCTTCCGGAAAATTGATATTATATGTATAATAAAACAAGTAACAATCAGGTAATTGCTATTTTAAATAGATTTATACCGACCTACACACCAGCATATATGTATATTAAATAAACAACCAAGAAATTTCAAACTACTTCATGAACATATCTAAATTGATAGACACATCACTACTTACTACAGACTATCCTTGTCTCGTAAATAAGTAATATTTTCTGTGAAAATTACATGGCCGCTTTCTTTCTTGTTACCATGACAGAACTATAGTATTAGTTTGTGTTTTGTGTTTTCCTTCACTGTTTTACTGGTTAAAGAATTAGACATGAGAGTTATCCGTGAGCGTTTCCATTGCTGTGCAGGACTTCTGAAAAGTCTGATCCTATGAGGAGCAGCTAGTTCCGAGAGGACTGAAGGCAGCACGAACAAGGGGCTGGAGCAGGGGCTCCAGTACAGTGTTGGTGGGAAAGTAAGTTAGTACAGCCCCACGGGAAACCTTACAGAAATGCCTCAAAAGGTGAAAAGCAGAACTACCATCCGATCCACAAATTATCCCACTTCTGGATGTGATACCCAGAGGAGTTCAAAAGGGGCGTCTGCCGGGCTGGGGTATAGTGGTGCAGCGCCTGCCTAGCAAGCGTGGGAAGCCTGTGTTTGAATCCTGGTACCAGGAAAACAGAAAGAGACGAACAGAGAGATACCTGCATCCCATGCTCATTACAGCACTGTGCTCACTGCTCACGACGTGGAAACAGACTGAATGTCCACCAGCTAATGGGGGAATAATCGCATCCCGTGTGGCGAAGGAACACTGTTCAGCCGAAAACAGAATGAGGGGCTGGGGATTTAGCTCAGCGGCACAGCGCCTGCCTGGCAAGCGCAAGGTCGTGAGTTCGACTCCCGGTACCGGAAAACAAACAAAACAACAACAACAGAAAACCAGAATGAAAACCTGTCCTTTCAAATGACATGGATGAACACGGAGATCATAAGCCCAGTCACAGAAAGCCAGAACCAAGTGATCGCACTGGTGTGAAATCTAAACCGCTGCTCTCATACATGGTGGGAGAAGCAGAGTGGACAGGAAGGGCTGGAGGAAGAGAGAGGAGGACCGGACGGTGCGATGTGACCGGCGGCACCCCGCTGCAGGTAGACCGGAGTGAGAGGTCCGTTAACAGTTCCACAGCTCGGTGACATGGACAGCAACAGGAGCTAGAAGAAAGGATTTAGCAAGTTTTCCCTACAAAGAGGGGCTGAATGTTGAGAAGGTAGAATGTCTTTAACCTGATTTTAACACTGCACAATGAATTCATACATTGAAACATCACGTGACACCGTAAAGGCACATAATCTTTACATAGTAATGTGTCAGTTAAAAACTCAGTTTAATTAGACAAAGAAGACTGATGTGACCAAAGAGGATTTTAAGGAAAATTAGTATTGGCTGAAAAAGATTTATTTTCCACTGGGGCCTCCTTCCTCATAGAAAGCAATTTTTACACAGTGGTAAAATGTGCAGACTCAGAATGCAGCATCTCAGCCACCCTACTGTGACTCAGTACTACCCAACACAGCCACGGACCGCAGTCGTCGGCACCGTCCGTCCCCAGCCCCTTCTGCTCCCCAAAGCTAAAACTCCGTCCACTAAATGACAGCACTCCTTTGCCACTTTGTCCTGATCCCCAGCAAAGTCCACTGTATTTCTGAATCCTAACCGTTCTGGGTCCCTCCTACGGATGGAATCGTGGGTCCTTGTCCTTTCCTGTCTGCCTTCTTTCCATGCTGGTAAAGTGATACTCTTTTCTCATGTCAAAGTGTTAAATGTGTTTGAAAGTCCTTGAAATAAAATTTATATATTTGTCATAGATCTTTGAGGCATTGGAGCAGTACCCTAGGTATCACATGTATAATTAGTATATGTGCAAATTATATGCACTATGTGTTTCTCAGAGGAGTAATGTCACCCACTCAGGTTACTTGTTCTTAATCAAGTGGGACCACTGCAGAGGAGCACTGCATCACCTTAGCTTTAATTCTTCTAAGCACAATTATAGCTTGAGAAAGTGACTTTGTCCACACTGAAACACAATTTATTATAAGACTAGATTTTAATAGAAAAGGCCTGGTAGCCCACTAGGAATCCTGCCAATTGTGTCATAAATGTGCATTATTGTGTGTGTGTAACACCCACCTTTATTCTTTAGAATATTTCTATTGATGAATTATTAATTTTATGAGTTTTAAATTTTATGGGAAAAGGTAAAATTTCATAACAAAGTTATAGGGGAATAACAATAGTTAATACTTTGCATATTGTGAGTTTTAAAGCAGTTACTCAAAGGATAAGATATGGGCATAAAATTTCTCCTGGTGATATCAGCACAAATCTTTGTTTTCAGTGAACTGAGAGAAGCTCAGAGTACAGCTGACTGGTGTGTTTTCCCTTTTTGCTTCCATCCTTTCCCCTCACCCCCACCCTCGTTCCTTTTTCCTTTTGAACAATTTCTTCTCATTTCACAGTACCTATTGTACATCTAAACCTTATTTACTCTTTCACTTTCTCACACCAGGGAGACAATACAATGTTTGCACATGTGACCCTGATTTATTTGACTTCTGAGTATGTTCCCAAGATACATCTATTTACTTATAAAAGTCTCCAGTTTATCCTTCTTTATGGCTGAGTAGTACTCCACTGTAGAAAAATATCACAATATTTTTATCCATTCCTCAGTTGATGGGCATTTGGTAGTTTACAAGATTTAGCTATTTCAAATTGTGCTGCTATAAACATGGGTGCACATATATTGCTATGGTATGGTGTTTTTAATTCTTCCAGAAAAATACCTCGAAAGGGAACAACTGGGTTGAATGTGACCTCTAATGTTAGCCTTTTTTGTTTGTTTGTTTGTTTTCCTGTACCAAAAATTGAACTCCCGACCTTATGCTTGCCAGGCAGGTGCTGTGCTGCTGAGCCAAATCCCCAGCCCCTAATCCTAGCCTTCAGAGGTAACTCCGTACTGCTTTCCACAGTGATTGCATGAGTCTACACTCCCACCAGCAGTGGAGAAGGATTCCTTTTTCCCCACAGCCCCTCTAGCATTTGTTATGGGTTGATGTCTTAATGATAACCATTCTTTTTGGACTTAGATGGAATATCAGTGTTGTTTTAATTTGCATTTCTTGAATGACCAATGATGTTGTACATTTTTTCATATGTTTATTTGCCATTTGTATTTTTTCATCTGAGAAGTGTGTATTCATCTCAGATGCCCATTTTTGGATTGGGTTTTGAATACTGGATGCCTGATTTTTTTCAGTTCTTTATGTGTTCTGATAGAATTGTTATTTCCTGATCCCCTATTATGTTTAAGAGATCTTTCCTTTTGTGATCAATAGCTGCAATCTTGTCTCCAAAGTCTTCAGTTTCATTCAAGTATTTTTGTCTTTATAATTTCCTGCCTTGTACAGGCTTTGAGCTTGACTTTGCTCTTCTTTTTCTAGAAGCTTGAGATGCAACATTAGCTTGTTTATTTGTCCTTGCTCTGTTTTCCTGATATGAGAAATAACCACTACAAATTTCCCTCTTAGGACTGCTGTCATTGTTTCTCACAGGTTCCAGCATATTTTATATGTATTTTTTAAAATTGTAGATATTGTTTAATTTCTTCTTTAATTTCATCTATGACCCTTTGGTTGTTCAGGAGTGTATTATTTAATTTCCATGTGTTTATGGTGATTTTGCAGTTTCTTTTGCCATTAATTTTTAATTTCATTGTGGTATGATCAGATAATATGCATGGGGTAATTTCAATTCCTTCACATTTACTTAAGCATGTTCTATGGGCTAATATATGTTCTACTTTAGAGAATGTTCCATGTGCAGCTGAGAAGAATATGTATTCTGCTGTTGTTGGGAGGAATATTCCTAGCATCTACTAAGTCCGTTTGTTCACAGGTTTGGTTCGGTTCTGATATTTCTTTGCTGATTTTTTGTCTACTTAATCTATCTGTGACAGTCGGGTATTAAGATCTCTCATTACAATAGTGATGTTGCTTATTTGATTTTTCATGTCTGTTAATATTTGCCTTATATAGTTGGGTATTTCTTTATTTGGTGCATACATAATTATGATTGCTATCTCTTCCTATAGAAGTTTTCCTCTGACAATTATGTAGTGACCTTCTTTATCGCTTTTGATCATGCTTTGACGTTCACATTCTCTGCCAATAGAATAGTTACACTGCTTTTTTTTCTGAGTTCCTGTTGCACGGAGTATTGTTTTCCATATTTTGAGTTTTAGTCTGAATTTCTTTTGAGTTAAATGTGTTTATTTTATACAGCATATTGTTGGATCTTGTTTCTTGATCCATTCTGCCAGTCTGTTTCTTTTGATTGGTGAATTTGAGGCCATTTACATTGATGGTTTTAACGTATGCATTGGCTTATCTTTTTTTGAAATTTTTTTTACTTTAAAAATTAAAAACTTGACAAAACAACAATGAAGACAAAATCAAAACAACACAAAAACAACAAAAATGATACATGACCTCAACACAAAATGATAGAAATCTACAGTGGTTGCTACATTACATACTGTTATCTCCAACAAAGTTGCTCAGTCCACTAGACATAAGAATGCAATACTGATCAAACAATCAAAGACAGTAACAAGTAAAAACAATAAAATTGGCTTATCTTTGTCAAGTTATTTTCTGCTGTTGTTTCTCTGCTTTTCCCCTCTGTTCAATTGCTTACCCTGCCTGCAGGTTTCTTTCTATTGTATTCTTGGAATTGTGGCCATTTTTATCTATACCTAGAATATCTTTCAGTACCATTGTAGGGTTGCTTTGGTGATCACGAATTTCTTCAGTTGTTCTTTGTCTTGGAAATATCATTTATCCATTAATTTTGAAAGATAGTTTTCAGAGTATATCAGTCTGGCTTGGAAGTTGTTTTCTTTCAAGACCTAAAATACTTCACTCCAACCTCTTCCTGATGTGATGGTTTGTATTTAGAAAGCTACCATGATTTGAATGGGCTTTCCTTTACAGGTGATCTGTTTTTCTCTAACAGGTTTTAATATTCTGCTCTTGTGCTGAATTTCTGAGATCTTGATTATTGTATGTCTGAATGTAGATTTACTTTGGTTATGGCTAACTGGAGTTCTATATGCCTCACTTACAGATGTCAGATATTGTCCCATGCTTGGGAAATTCTGCTATTACTTCAGCAAATAATCTTTTTATGTTATTTGTGTTGACTCCTGCTTTTTCATTGACACATATCAGTTTTATATTGTTTTTCATTGCATCATCTTGCAGTTGTTAAATTGTTATTTCTTGATGCCCTATTATTTTTAAGAAATCTTTCCTTTTGTGATCACTAGCTGCAATCCTATCTCCAAAGTCTGAAAGTCTATCTTCAGTTTCATTCAAGTGTTTTTGCCAGCTTTCAAAGGAATTTTTAATTTCCTGGATACCTGTTTGAATCCATCTCATGCATTCTATTTCTTTCCTACCTTTGTCATTCTTATTTTCCTTCATTTTCCTATGCTTCTCTATTTTTTTTAATCTATGTCTACTTTAGATTTGCTGAGCAATTCCTTTATTATAACTCTCATTTCTTTTTTTACCTGAAAGATTACTTCTGACCTGATCTCCTCTGTAGTCTCAGGATTTGTTTCTTTAATTCAATTATTATCATTTCAGAAATTTTAAGTATGTGTCTTCTATTTTCCTCTATCTTGTTGTCTCTTGGGATTGTTCTTTGTGGGATAGAAATCTGAGGTTGCATTTGCTTCTGCAACTTGTCATTTGATATTTCAAAAATTGTTATTTCATTTTCTGTGTTGATCCTTGTAAATTTTTGTAGTAGGTGGCTTTGTCACTAGCGTCAAGGTCTCTGTAGGAAAGTCTGTGCAGAGATGTCTTCTTTAGGTGGGAGGTTCTTGGTTTATGTCTGTCCCAAGGTCCCTGATGCTCTCAGCATCTCTATCCCTGTTGCTTTCAGACAGAGACGGGGACTGTCTGCCGTCCTGTGCACCTCTGCCTCCTCTCAGTCCTAGCTCGGCCTTCTGTGTTCCTCTCCCTCGGCAATCTCTGTCCTCTCATGTTTGCTGCAGCATGGGGTGGATGCTGCATGGCCTCCTGCTCCTGCCATTGCTGTTCAAACCAGCTGTGTCCCATTTCTTGCTCCTCTCCCAAAGGGTGAGTGCTAACTTCCCACTCTTTGCTTTACAAGGTCTGCCACTGCCAAGCCCTGCCT